TGCCCAACATGGAGCCCAATGTGGGGCCCAACTCGGGGCCTGAACTCATAACCCTGAGATCAAGACCCAAGCTAAGATCAAGAGTCGGACACTCAACTGACCGAGCCACCCAGGTGCCCCACTTACCCTTCACCTTACTACTCAACTAGTACTGTCCAAACATCCATCCTGCACGACCACCAGAAGTCCAGTATCCTTATTCAGTTTCATTTCCTTGACATTTCTCACAATCCAGGGAACTCTTCCACAAATCAGTCCTAGTAGGTTGCTAATTTCTGTTGACTAGGCACCTCATCTCCTGGCCTGTCTGCAGCTCTCTGTTGTTCTTTACTCAGGCAAAGAGCCAGACTACTAACTCAGCTCCCCAAAGCATACTTAATACTGCGAGGTTTAGCTTAAGGAATTTGGCCAGTGCCTTCCTGATAGCATCGTTATCGTCCTCATCATTATCGCCATTATTATCACTCAGACAAGCTTCAGGATTCATTTTCTGCCAGGATTTCCCTTTCACAGGTGAGGAATCAGGTTCAGAGAGGGCGAGGAGCTTTCCCAAGGTCACTCAGCTAGTCAGTGGGAGAGCAGAGCCCTGTCCTAAGTCTGGCTAATATAGTGGGAGAACCACATCTCATTGGAGCTGTTTTACACAAAGGCATTCAGTCGCTGAACCACGTTGTGTGATAGTTATTCTCTTTTCTGTTATCTTCCATTCCTTCTGATTAAATTCAGGAAAGCTTCCCGGAGTATCTTATATCCTTGTAAAAGTTCTCTAACGTGTGCCAATCTCCCTTTCTAACAAAGAGCGAGCAGGCAACAGTATCTAGCTAGAGTTTAATCACACTGTTTTGTTTTCCTTATATTTATTTTTATGGAAATGTTGATTTCCCATTGACGACGTAGCCTCATAAATGTCCTTATTATAAAAGTGAGTAGACTTACAGAAAAATATTAAGTGAACAGTAATGTAGGTAGTTCATTGGAATGGCAAAATTGTGCAATTTGGGGCCTCCAGGCTGGGGAGCACTGCACATAATAATGAGGAGCTTAAGACTGGACGCCCGAATCCATGGCCTGGCCTGGCCTCCTCGGACCCGGGGAAGGGGAATGGCGCCTCTCTCCCCAGTTCCTGGCAGAGACCACAGGGAGAGGCCCCTTGACCCAGCCCAGCTCCAGCCCCAAGAAGAGCCAATTCCAGACTCACCAGGAGCTCAGCCTTTTCTTTATGCAGCCTTACTGTCCCAAAGGGCTCTGTTTCAAGGGAGATCTCTATCTCTCTTCACGTAACAAAAGTCCTCAACACTGTTTTTCCTCAAACCAAAAAAAGTGCGGTCAGTTTTCCCCTCCACTGCAATTAAAATGGCAGGCAGCTTTGTAATGGCAGTTTATTAAAGGTCTGTAGAGGGTTCAGTCACAAGAGTAGCCTCCCTTTCCTGGCCCAGCTGCCAGATGGGGAGGGGCATGCTAAGCCCCGGTTCTGTGAGACTTCCTAAAGCACAGCTCTGACCTTGACCATGGTTTGTTCTGTTCCACATGCCCACGTCTCTTGGGCTAGTCTTCTTGGTTTTGTGTTGGAGATCCCCTCACAGTCAACCCAATATGGTGAGATAGAAGCTCATTGGGCCAGGACTTGGGATTCTGGGGTTCCAGTGCTAGAGTGACTCCTCATTTTCTCTGTGACCTCTGCTGTTTCCCTCCCCTCTCCAGGCTTGTTTTCAAGTCAGTAGTAGGGAGGGATTGGAGTCTCCTCCAGGGCTGACTTTCTATTTCTGTGGCTGGAGCCTGAATTAATTGACAGCTCAAGATCAAAGAGGCTGAAAGAGCTAGCACTGAAGTCCAAGCCTCAGACTTGACCACCCCCAGCCCAGTCACGAAAAAGACCTTGAGGCTTTGCCATTTCAGATTGTTCCGGGCCTGAATGCCCTATGTCAGGAAAAACAGGTCTTCTGGGAATTAAACTGGACTCCCCACTTCCCAAGGGGTTTCCTTACCTAAATGACCAAACACAGAGCCCTACAGAATGAGGAAGCTGCTCAAACCTGTATGTCTCTCATTCCATCCCAAATGACTGATTCCAGCAGGAGAATTTCTGTTATGTTATGTCTTTTAAAAGGGAGCATGTTTTGTTTTTATTTTTGTTTTTGTCTTTTAACTTGCCATAAAACAGATGTTCAGCATGAAATGTGTGGACAGAATAGAAATGTACTGAAATGGAGTAAAACCTTGGATTGCGAGTAACTTGTTCTGCAAATGTTCTGCAAGATGGACAAACATTTCTAATCAATTTTAACTTGCTAAATGAGCAATGTCTTGCGATGCAAATAGTACAAACATATAATACAGGGTACCAGATGTCACCTGATCACAACTGAGCCAATGGTTCTCTCTCTCTCTCTCTCTCTCTCACTCTCACTAAGGAATTGTGGGTGATTGTCTCCCATGCTCAGATGCTCAGTCTCAGGCCGTGGTGTTTGTCAGAAATCAGTGATTTTTCAGAACATTGGAAGATGCCCACAACTGGCACTAGTATATTTTTTGTCACTTCAAAGCACCTATGGACAGTCCTTTGCTTTTCCAGACAGGAGTAAGCTTAGGAATGCTTTGCTTCATTCTAGATCATTGGATAGGCTCCTTGTTAAAGTTGCATGAAAAGAAAAAGATTTTATTGAGCCAACAGATAGCAGTGATTCCATTAGTGATAGTGAAAGTCGTTCTACACGATAAACCCCTATCTCTGGTCTCCCTCCACCAGCCAAGAAGGTTTTCAAAGGGAAGTGCAGGTTAATTTATTTTTCTTTATATTTTGTATTTACTTTATTGTTTTATATTATAGTATTGTGATCATTTTTATATGAATATTTTTGGGTTGTGGAATAAATCATCTGAGTTTACATGATTCCTTATGGGGAAATTTGCTTTGATATACAAGTGCTTTGGATTACAAACATGTTTCTGGAATAATTTATGCTCTCAAACCAAAGTTTTACTGGATTACTTACCTACCCCTGCCCAAGATATTCCTTTTCTTTCATGATTTTATTTTTAAGTAATCTCTACATCCAATGTGGAGCTCGAACTCACAATCCCTGAGATCAAGAGTCACACCCTCCACTGACAGCCAGCCAGGCACCCCCCAAGGTACTCTTCATAAACATTTTTATGTTCATCCTTCTAGGCTTTCTCTGAGAAATATAAAGACATGTAGCTTTACAATGAAGATAGGATCATACTAGATCCTATTTTTTAAAAGTCAATATTGTGACTCTCTTACAAACATAAAATGAACACTTGTCAAAGATTGTAATTTTTTTTTTAAATGTTTTATTTATTTCTAGGAGAGAGAGAGACAGCATGAGCAGGGGAGGGTCAGAGAGAGAGGGAGTCACAGACTGAAACAGGCTCCAGGCTCTGAGCTGGCAGTCAGCACAGAGCCCGACGCGGGGCTCGAACCCACGAACCGCGAGATCATGACCTAAGCGAAAGTCGGACGCTTAACCGACTAAGCCACCCAGGCGCCCCTGTAATTTTTTAAAAGATTTTATTTTTAAGTAATCTCTAAATCCGACATGGGCCTCGAACTTACAACCCCGAGATCACGAGTTACACACTCTACTGATTAAGCCAGCTAGGCACCCCTGTCAAAGATTGTACTGAAGAATAATTAATGAAAGAACCAATAATAAACTAAAGCCAGTTCAAAGAAGAGTCAGATATATTTATACCTAGGTCTGTATATAAATTTGCCAATAGATGCAGAGTTGGTTTTTATCTTGAGAGCAATAAAGTGGTGTTTGAAATCATCTCTTAATATTGTACACTTTCAGGCCAAGATCAATGTGCATATCTGTGGGCAAGAATACTTTGCATTACTGTAACTTTTCTGAAATTTGCAGGGTTGTGAAATAGCCTGCTAGAAGACAGTGAAACACTCAGACCTTTGTAGAATCAAGTATAGCATCCAACATTCCACTGAAAAGACACTAGTAAACTTCCAAATTTTCACTGAAACATATATTATGGTTATAATAGCTCATATTTTGAGGATGCTTACTATGTGCCAGGCACAGTTGTAAGTACTTGATGAGTATTATCTCATTTAATCCTTGCAAAAAGACTGTGAAGTAGACTCCATTGTCACTCTGTTTTTACTAATGAGAAACTCAGAGAGGTTAAGTAACTTGCACAATGTCACATCGCTAGGAAGTGGAGAAGCCAGAATTCAACCCCCTGTTAAAGAACAAAAGTTCAACCAAGTTAATTTTAAACATCTAATTAGCTTTATGAATTGATTCATGAATTGGGCAGCATCCCATCTAGCAAGTAGCAGCGAGCTCCAAAGGGTCACAGAAAGGGAAAGTTTTTTATTTTATTATTATTTTTTAATGTTTCTTTATTTTTGAGAGAGTGCACAAGCAGGGGAGGGGCAGAGAGAGAGGGAGACCAAGAATCTGAAGCAGGCTCCATACTGTCAGCGCAGAGCCCGATGCGGGGCTAGAACCCACAAGCTATGGGATCATGACCTGACCCAAAGTCAGACGCTCAACTGACTAATCTATCCAGGTGCCCCAAAAGGAAAAGGTTTTTAAAGACAAGGCAAGGAAATCATAACAAGAGAAAGGATTACTTTGGCTGAGGTCACCTTCCTTTGGGGGACAAAAAGGTCTTAACTGGTGGATTATCTCCTCTCCCTTTGGGGAATGGAGAGGGCCCATGTGACAGATCAACTTCTTGGTGCTGAGCATATTGCTGACCGACCTGTGAAGACTGTCCCTGGGGGGGAGGGGCGAGACTGTGGTTAGGTTAGCTACGAAGCCCCAGTTTGGTGGCATGGCCTAGCGTAGCCGACTCCATTTTGGATGTGTGGTTTTCTTTTTAACACCCCCAACTATAACATTATATCATCATTCATCCAACTTTTGACTGATGGATATTTGGGTTGTTTCAGTTTTTTTTCTCCAATGATGAGTATTTCAGTAAATATCTTTATGTCCTTCTCTACTTTTCAGAATTCCTCGAAGTGGAATAGCTGTGTTCAAGGATGTGTGCATTTTACTCTCAATATGTGTGGCCAAAATGCCCTCCTCCAAAAAGCGGAATCAATTTACACTCCCTTTACAGCCAGCTTAGAAGAGTTTATTTTCCTCCATCTGTGCCAACAATAAGTAAGTACATCAATCTTTTCAGTGTCTGCCTGATTTAAAAAAAAAAAAAAAAAAAGATTTCTTGGTGTTATTTTAATTAACATTTCTTTTTAAGGCAAGAATTTTTCAGGACTCTTCTAGATGAATAATTATCGATGCCAGAGATCACTTTGAACCCTCTCTCTTTGTCCCGCAGGGTAGAGATTTAAACTCCGAGCAAGGTGCCCAGTGGGGAAAGGAGCTATACCAAGGCCATCCTGTGAGTTAGGGGCAGACCTGGGGCTCGCCTCAGGGTGTTCTGACCTCTTTCAGAAATAAACAGAGCCTTTCTTATGAGCCTCCTGACACCGGGTGTTGTTTTTAACCTAAATACCAGTGGGAGTAATTGGGACCCATCAGAAGTAAGCCATTTGGATTAGTCAGTCAATAGAGATGATATAATTAGCTAGACCATTTGAGAAAGAGAAAACTGAATTCCTACCTTATCACCAATGGATCAAACACTTAAATGTCAAAAAAAATTTTTTAGGATAAAATCAATAAATAAGCAGACTTTAGGAAAAATATGAGTAAATCAGTTCTAGGATTTATAAAACAAATCATAAAGAAAGGCTTAACAAATCTGACTACTAAATGCTTTGAAACATGTGGCGAAACCTCCACAAATGAGTTTGAAAGACGAAAGTTTACTGTACACAAGATCGCACTTTTTTTTAAAATTTTTTTTGATGTTTATTTTTGAGAGAGAGAGCAGGGGAGGGGCAGAGAGAGAGGGAGACACAGAATCTGAAGCAGGCTCCAGGCTCTGAGCTGTCAGCCCAGAGCCCGACGCGGGGCTCGAACCCACGAACCGTGAGATCATGACCTGAGCCGAAGTCAGATGCTTAACCGACTGAGCCACCCAGGCGCCCCAAGATCCCACTTATTAACACAGAAAACACCCATCAGAAATTACTTAGGCACGTACCAACTGGTAGACCAATGAGACGGAAAAAGATAACGCCTGTGAACATGGTTTGCACAAAGGCATTTTTCCTCGGGATAGCACGGTTGTGAGGACTGTTATCAGGATCCTTCTTATTTCCAGTGATGGGGCTGAAATCTGTGCAAAAGCATCAGACAAGGGTGCAGGTATGAAGGGGACTGTGGAGGCATCTTTGAATCTTTGAAAGGAACCACCCTAGATTCGAATCCTGGCTCTGCTGGCATTTGCCAGTCCTTTGGCACGATATGTAGCATCTCAGATCCTCATCTCCTCATTGTAAAATGCGGGTGGTGATGCCCACATCTCAGCGTACCTTTGAGGAATCAATAAGATGATGGATGTGGACTGCCTGGCACAGAACCTGGCACTTACCAGGCAGTTAAAAACAACGTGTGTTCCCTTTCCATTCTCCTCTCTGAGAACCCACAGGGATTTGCCAGACTCTTCATTCATTCAACAATGTCTGTTTTATACCTGTGCACACTGGGCACCAGGCAGGTGCTGGGGACACTGGTGTGAATGTGAGGGAGGCGGTTCCTGTCCTCTGGGAGTTTATAGTCTAATGACGTTGGACACAGAACAGATCATTTTGCAAAAATGAATTATTTACAATTTTAACAGAGCTATGAGGAAAAGAAACCCAGAATGCAGCAAGAGCCTTGAGAAAGTTCAGGAAAGGCCTCTGAGGAAGGGATCCAAGGCACAGGGGAAAGTAGCATCCGTGAGAGATGAGGAAAGCCCTAAAACGGCCTGAGCAAGGTGGACCCGGGTTACCTGGAGAAACCAAAGGAAGGGCAGTGTGACTGGAGCTTGGGCAGGACATTCCCAGTGGGAGAATTTCGATTGCCACATCCCAGACAGAAATTGGTCTGGACATTCTGTGACCAGGAACTCAGTACTTATTAGGTGAGCTGGTCCATCTGGGTGATGGTTGGTGCCCCTAGAAACTCAGGTGCAACCTGTTGGCTACTGTACCATTGCACCACTGGCGCCACCTACTTGCTCTTAACCTGAAGCAGTCAGTCACTCCTTCACTGAGCCCCACTTGTCCTCTCTGGCATCTACCTGTGTTGCAGTCACCTGCTCTTCTGTCTTCCTCCATTGTCTTATAAGCTCCCCATCAGAAGAGAATGTGTCTTTTTCCTCCCTCTGTCCCCAGCTCCTAGCACACTTTGTACACATGAGGTGCTGCTGAGTGTATGTTCGTTTGAATGGATAATAAGTGATGCTTTGCAAAGATTTGGTTGTTTGCTCTTAGGTAACTATTATCCACCTTCCTCAAGACTAGCTGTGTTTTACTGAGCATCTACTGTGTGCCGGGCTCATTACTAATGTTACCTCATCAAATTGCTTTTTAGGGACTGTCACCATTTTGTCTCCATTTTCCCCTTAGCTTTATATTTTAAGAAATCCAGATAAACAGAGAAGTTGGGAGAACTGTACAGAAAACACCCACCTGCACTTTGCGTAGGTTCACCAATTTTCCCATAGCTGCTTTATCCCTGTGTGCGTGTACACACACACACACACACACATACACACACACACACACACACACACACACACACACACTTTTCCCCTGAACCATTTAAATGTTGCTGATGTGAGAATTCTTCACCCCTGGAATCTTCAGTGCATGTCTCCTAAGAACAAAAACACTTCTCTCCACCATTATGATGTCATTGTCACCCTCAACAAATACAAGATTGATAATACCTGAAAAAAATCAGCCTCTGAATTTGTCTAATCGGCCTGATTACATCCTTTATAGCTTTTTAGTTTTCATCCAGAAGTATAGAAGCATTTAACTGAGATGTCTCTTTAGTCTCCATTAACCTGGAACAATTCTCCCCACTTCTGGCAGCGGAGGCGGGTGGTCTTTCATGTGTTTGGTATTTCTGAAGAGTCCTGGACACTTGCTTTATAAAATGTCCTGCAATTTGGGCTTGCCTGGGGTCACCTCATTATTTGATCAGGTTATACATCTTCAGGCAAAAATGCTATTCTGATGATGTCATGTTTTTCTAGTGCATCACATCAGAAGGCATATGCAGTCAGCATATGCCGTTGTTGGTGATGCTAAATTTGATTGCTTGTGTGAGGTCATAGAAAATAGATATTGGTCTCTGCCCTTGGCTTCTGGCACAGGGCTCCTGAACCCCTTGTAATTTCCTTTTTCAAAAAAATTGTATTTAAATCCAAGTTAGTTACCATATAGTGTGATAATGGTTTCAGGAGTAGAATTTAGTGATTTCATCACTTACGTATAACACCCAGTGCTCATTCCCAGCAAGTGCCCTCCTTAATGCCCATCACCCATTTAGCCCATCCCCTCACCCACCATCCCTCCAGCAGCCCTCAGTTTATGCTCTGTATTTAAGAGTCTGTTATGGTTTGCTTCCCCTTGTGATTTCCTAAGCTATAGGAGCACTGGAATCTTGTTTTGTTCTAGTATTTGGTCTTTCACCCCGGGTTCTGACACTGAGCTCCTGAAACTCTGGTTATTACCTGGGGCGATAGGAGTGTCTTTTGATCTAATGATATAGCTGTGGGCGGGCTCCTGGATGGCTCTTGGATGACGGCTGGTCACCTGAAAGACAAAGCCATGATTAGAAGTTTCCCCCTTTCAGCCCTGCCTCTCACTCTCAAGAAGAGAGAAGGTCTGGGAATGGAGTTAATGATCAATCATGCCTATGTGACAAAGCCTCCACAGAAATCCCCAGAGTATGGGGTTCAGAGTGCCGCCAGGTTGACAAACACACCCAAACATGGAAGATGACGTACCCCAACTCCTGCGTGACAGGTGCTCCTGCGCTCAGGACCTACCCAGAGCCCGCCCGACGTATGTCCATTTGGCTCTTCATCCATATCCTTTATCATAGCCTGTCATAAACTGGTGAACACAAGTGTTTCCCTCAGTTCTGTGAGCAGCCCTAGCAAATTAATTGAAACTGAGGGTGGGGTCATGGGAGTTTTCAGTTTGTTGCCAAATTGGACAGAAGTTGTGGGTAACCTGGGGACCTACTGCTTATGATTGGCCTCAAAGTAGGGTGGGAGCAGTTTTGTTGGACTGAGCCCTTAACCTGTGGGATCCGATCTGTCTCCAGGTAGATAGTGTTAGAACTGAGTTAAATCGAAGGATACCCAACTGGTGCTACAGAGAATTTCTCGTGTGAACCACACCCCTCACCACCACACATTTGGTGACCAAAAGTATCAGAAGTGAAGTGTTGTCTTTGAGTCATAAAGGGGACACACAGGTTTGAGCTGAGTTTTTTTTTATACAATGTGGTTAGGGTACTGTCCACCAGATGTCTTCACTATAGAGGTACGTTTTCTCTTTGTAACTAATAACTAATTTCTGGGGAGATACTTTATGACTGTATGAATCTTTTGTTCCCCAATAATTTTTCACCAATGTTTTTCACATCCATGAATGATCTTACATGAATTGATTATTACTATGGTGATTGCAAAATGATGCTTTTCTAATTTCCTTTACATTTACATTTATTAGCTGACAGTCTTCTCTATAGCACATCTTTCTCTCCATTCTTCGCTTTTCTTTATTTCTTTCTTTTTTTTAATGGAATGCTTTCACGAATTTGCATGTTATCCTTGTGAAGGGTCATGCTAATCTTCTCTGTATCATCCAATTTTAGTGGATGTGCTGTTGAAATGAGCACTGGATTACTTTTTAATTTAATGTATAGCAGTCCTTTATCACCATTATTCATGTTGATGTTCAGATTGTCCCAGATTTGACCAGTAGCTACCAGTCTCCAGTAGCTTTGAGCACTTCTTCACTCTCTGGCACAACAAGATATTCTAGGTTTACTTTTACCCTTATTCTAAATAAGACAAAAAGGAGGCCCAGAGAGGTGAAATGACTTGCTGTCTCATGGTATTTGTGAGATCCTAATCAAGCTCAGGACTTTCAGTTCCAAATTCCTAGGAAAGAAAATATTAAGCTGATAGGCCAGCCATTCCTATAGAACAGAAGGGACCTTATCAAGACATGGAGATGATCCCCAAACCAGCTAAATATTTACCTGACTGCACTCAGACCTGGCCTAATAAGATGAAAACATTTGGATTATAGCTTTGAACTTAGACAATTAGCAACAGATTCCCAGGATATTTTATTGACTAAGGAAGTTATAATTCAGGGGATAAGAGCATAGGTGTTGGATTCAGAAAGAAGCAAGTTTCCCTTTAAGACCTAGGCAGGTTCTGCCTTTGTGTTTGTCTTTGGGCAAGTTACTTTACCTTGTTG